CCCGTCTTCCTGAGGGTGAGTGCGGGCAGAGTGGGCAGGTGGGCCATCAGGATCCTCATGCAGCTCCTGCCCTGGTGGGCGGCCAGTTCCCCTGGGTCCTACAGGACTACGTGTCCCCAGCCCTGGACCTCAGCAACCCGGCTGTCTTCCGGGACCTGTCCAAGCCCATCGGTGTGGTGAACCCCAAGCATGCCCAGCTCGTGAGGGAGAAGTGAGCATGCGGGCGAGGCTGGGCTCGGCGGCTGGGCTGGGCCAGGGGAGGACTCCTGCTGACTGCCTCTGACCGTGACTCCAGGTATGAGAGCTTTGAGGACCCCGCGGGCACCATCGACAAGTTCCACTATGGCACCCACTACTCCAACGCAGCAGGCGTGATGCACTACCTCATCCGCATGGAACCGTTCACCTCCCTGCATGTCCAGCTGCAGAGTGGCCGGTGCGGCCCAAGGGGCGGCAGGCAGATGGCAGCTGGTTGGGGGAGGCCAGCAATGAGGGGAGGAGGCGGGTCCTCTGGACACCCTGGGCCCTCCGGACACCCTGGGCCCTCTGCCTCTCTGCCGTTCTTCTCCCTGCCATGCCTTCTCCCTCCCGGTCCCCATTCTCCCCACCTCACTTTGGCCCATGCCCCTCCCCCCAGCTTTGACTGCTCTGACCGGCAGTTCCACTCGGTGGCCGCAGCCTGGCAGGCCCGCCTGGACAGCCTGGCCGATGTGAAGGAGCTCATCCCCGAGTTCTTTTACTTTCCCGACTTCCTGGAGAACCAGAATGGTAAGAGCTGGCATGGGGATGGAGACAGGGGCCGGGGCGGCCAGGGAGCAGGTGGAGACAGCTGGTCCTCTGTTCCAGGCTTTGACCTGGGCTGCCTCCAGCTGACCAACGAGAAGGTGGGCGACGTGGTGCTGCCCCCGTGGGCCAGCTCTCCTGAGGACTTCATCCAGCAGCACCGGCAGGCTCTGGTGTGGACATGAGCACGTACAGATGGGCGGAAGCCAGGGTTAGGGGTCAGCTGTCTGCCCCTGGAATGACCACCCTCCCCACCCCCAGGAGTCAGAGCATGTGTCTGCCCATCTGCACAAGTGGATTGACCTCATCTTTGGCTACAAGCAGCGGGGGCCGGCTGCAGAGGAGGCCCTCAATGTCTTCTATTACTGCACCTATGAGGGTGGGCAGTGCTCTGGGCATCGGTGGGGGCTGGGCACAGAGGAGGAGGGGGAATGCAGAGGGCACAGAGGCCACAGAGGTCCTGACTGCTCTACCTGCCTGCCCAGGGGCTGTGGACCTGGACCACGTGGCAGATGAGCGGGAACGGAAGGCTCTGGAGGGCATTATCAGCAACTTTGGGCAGACTCCCTGTCAGCTGCTAAAGGTAAGGCCAGCTTTGAGAATGGTGGTCAGGGATGTCCATGCCATGGTGCTAACTGGCCACTTGCCCACAGGAGCCACATCCGGCTCGGCTCTCAGCTGAGGAAGCAGCCCAGCGCCTGGCGCGTCTGGACACAAACTCACCTAGCATATTCCAGCACCTGGACCAGCTCAAGGCCTTCTTTGCAGAGGTGAGAGGAGACTGGGCCTCAACTTCCTGTGAAATGAGTTTAACCCCATTGTCCTTACCATCTTTTGGGGGCAGATGGAAAGCCTAAATCAAGGTCACTGACATTAAGGCATTTTGGAAAAAAGTGAACATGAGAGGACTCTGGGAGTGTGGTGGGCTACCTTCTTCACTAGGGCGGGGACAAGGTGCTGGCTCAGCCATCTCTGAAAGTCCGAGTGAGACCACAAGGAGGGCATTTGGCTTGGACACTCCCTCCCCTTCCTGTCTAGGTCTCAGAAGGCCCCCGGGGTTCCCCTCTACTGCCAGCATGCTGGGGGCACATGGAGTAATGGGGTAGGCAGACCGAGGTCGAGACCAAGCGTGAGGCTCAGGGAGGATCTTCCTTGTCCATCCCAGCTTCTCACTCACTGCCTTTTTTTATTGATTGATTTGAGAGAAAGAGAGAGAATCATCAATTTGTTATACCACTTATTTATGAATTCAGTTCTGGTATGTGCCCTGACTGGTGATCAAACCCAGAACTTTGGCACATTGGGATGATGCTGTAGCCAGCTGTGCCACCGGCCAGGGATCTCGCTCACTTTCCAAGATGCCCTCGTAAAGACGCACCGGTCTCATGGGTCTTTCTCAGCATGAGGTGTCACAGGACCTCAGCCCCTGTGACACCTAGCCTGTGACCCCTGGGACCTGAAGGCAAAAGGAGTGGTGCCTCAGCGAGCAGGCGGTGCAGTGGGGGCCCTGGCTGGCCTCTCAAACAGCCAGCCCTGCACTCTGCCCCACAGGCCATCAGTGATGGTGTGCCCCTGGTGCTGGCCCTGGTTCCCCACCGACAGCTCCATTCCTTCATGACCCCAGACCTGCTGGTGAGTGTATTGGGCAGGACCCCACCCAGCTCCCTCTCTGGCTGTACCCCAAACCTGCCTCTGCCCCCCTTGCTCGCAGGTTACCGTGAGTGCCAATGGGCTGCTGGGCACCCACAGCTGGTTGCCCTATGACCGTAACATAAGCAACTACTTCAGCTTCATCAAAGATTCCAACAAGTAAGACAGGGCTACAGGCAGGATTGGGCACCCCTCCACCCAATTTGAAGGCTGACCAGCTGCTAGGTCTGGCCCAGGCCTCCGGGGGCCTCACCTGTCATCCCCCTCACTGGGTCAGGGTGCAGCGACTGCTGAGTGGCCCATGGGTACAAGACAGTGGCGTGAGTGGGCAAGCCCTGGCAGTGGCCCCCGATGGAAAGCTGCTGTTCAGCGGTGGCCATTGGGATGGCAGCCTTCGAGTGACCGCACTATCCGGGGGCAAGCTGTTGAGCCACATCAGCCACCACCTTGGTACGAGCAGCCTGGAAGCTGGGAGGGGGTCAGGTCGGGGGTGGGTTCCGAGGCTGGCCAGGGAAGGTGTGACTACTCTGTTCTACCTGGACCTTCCCCTCCCCACGCAGACATAGTGACCTGCCTTGCAGTGGACACCTATGGCATCTACCTCATCTCAGGCTCCCGGGATACCACGTGCATGGTGTGGCGGCTCCTGCAGGAGGTGCGCTGGGTGGGCAGCTCCGTGGGGTCCCCATAGTCCAGATTTGCATCCCGCCTGTCCCTCACTAGGCTTCCAGTGCCGCCCTTCTCTCTTCCCCTTCCATCTGCTACTGTGAGCAGGTCTGGGGCTCCACAGCCCACCAGCTGTCTGGCTTTGCACAGTGCCCTCGCTCTCCTGAGCCTTAGCCTCCTTGTTCAAGGGCCAGGATGATGGGATGCCCCCAGTCCTGACCCAGCCTTGGCTTCCCACAGGATGGTCTCTCAGTGGGACTGGCATCCAAGCCTATGCAGATCCTGTATGGGCACGAGGCTGCCGTGAGCTGTGTGGCCATCAGCACTGAACTGGACATGGCCGTGTCTGGATCCGAGGTGTGTGTATGCCTGTGCTAGGGGAGGCCGAGCTTGCTGGGCAGTGTCCCTGGGACCCTGAGTGCTCCTCCCAGCGCCCTAAGCTGCCTTCCTACAGGATGGAACTGTGATCATCCACACTGTACGCCGTGGCCAGTTTGTAGCTGCACTACAGCCCCCGGGGGCCACGTTGCCTGGACCCGTGTCCCACCTGGCAGTGGGGTCTGAGGGCCAGATCGTGGTTCAGAGCTCAGCACGGGAACGTCTGGGGGCTCAGGTATGGGAAAGGGGCACCCAGTCAAGACAGGGGTGGTTGGGATTCTGTCACTGCTGACACCTCCTGCTTCTTCCAGGTCACCTACTCCTTGCACCTGTACTCTGTGAATGGGAGGTTGCGGGCTTCACTGCCCCTGGTAGAGCAGCCCACAGCCCTGGCAGTGACAGAGGACTTTGTTCTGCTGGGCACAGCCCAGTGTGCCCTGCATATCCTCCACCTGAACAAGTGAGCCCCGCTGTTCATGGGTTCGTGGTCCCTCAGGGTAGTGGTCACTGGCAGAGGATACTAGGAGGTGCCCCCACCCCGCCCTTGGGCCACCACCCTTTGCACACCTGTGGGCCTTTCCTGCAAGTCCTGCCACCTGACTCTTCATCCCCCGATGGGGAGATCTTGCCCTTGGCCTGTCTTAGCTACACACCTGTGGGAGATCACTTCCTGTATCAGGGTTTCAGTTGAGCCATCCTTCAAATAAGGGCAGCTGGAGCTTGTGGTTTTAAGTTCGTGTATCCCCTCCTTCCCCCTCCAGGCTGCTCCCAGCCGCGCCTCCCCTGCCCATGAAGGTGCCCATCCGCAGCCTGGCTGTGACGAAGGAGCGCAGCCACGTGCTTGTGGGTCTGGAGGATGGCAAGCTTATCGTGGTGGGCGCGGGGCAGCCCTCCAAGGTGAGGCTAAGGGCAAGGTGGGATTCGACTGGGCCTCGAATGGGGCGCGGAGCGGTGGTCCTGGCTGACCCCACTCCGCTCTTCCTCGCTCTTCCTCGCACTAGGTGCGCAGCATCCAGTTCACGCGGAAGCTGTGGCGGTCCTCTCGGCGCATCTCGCAAGTGTCCTCTGGAGAGACGGAGTACAAGCCTGAAGAGGCGCGCTGACATCTGCCCCCGCCCCGCGCAGGCTCCGCCCCAGAGGCCTCGCCCAGGCGTCGGTGGAGCCGTCTGCCGGCACCCGCGGGTGCGCGGAGCCCCACCCCGGGCAGCTCAGGGATCCGCGGGCGGTGTCACTCCCGGAAGTCCCGCCCCTCGCCGGCAGAGGGGGAGCCCGGAGTCCTGGCACTGGCCCTGGCGGCCGTAAAGCACTTTTTGCACAGTCTGAGGCGGGGAACCTAGCCTTCTCCGTCCCCAGTTCCGGCAGAGCCCGAGGACCGGGCTTGTGGCCTTAACCCCTAAGGCGGCTCCTGCTCTCCCATTCTCGGCAATAAAGCGGACCTAGTTTTGTAGCTGCTCCGTCTCTGAGTATGTGGTGTGTTGCGCGCGGCGACTCAGCCGGCCCTGGTCAGGAGCCCTCTGGGGCGACTCGTCCCCTCCGACTGGCCTCGGCTCCCCCCAGCCGCACCGCCCCGTCCCTCGAGGCCCCGCCGGTCGTTCTTCCAGGCTCGTGTACGCACGCGGCCTTCCACGAGCTCACCCTACACGCCACTCGCACGTTCGTGCCGTCGGGGCCTGGCGTCAGGTGGGCGCGCGTGCGCGTTCCTTTGCGGGGCGGGGTGAGGTCGTGGCAGCCGCGCCCCTCCGCCCCCGCGGGCCCCTCACGCAGCGGCCGGGGCCGCAGAGTTCCCGGGACCGCCCTGCCCGCCTGCTCAGTGCACATCCCTGCGCCGCCTCTCTCTCCAGAGTGCCGGAACCGGCCTCCCCTGGGATTCCAAGTCGTCTTCCCAGAAGGCCCAAGGCTAGCCTCGAGTCTCAGGCCCCCGGCCCGCCAGGGTGAGCGGATCTTGGGGCCTGTGGAGGGTCGGCCGCCGCAGGTCCGGAGTGGGTTGGGGACAAAGCCCCGCGTCTTGGGCGGAGGGAGCTGAGGATGCACCCCACCGCGAGACCCGCGATCCTGCTTGTGTTGTCGGTCATGGTGCAGCGCCTGTGTTGGGTTGCATGTGGAAAGCCAGGTTTGCGTGGGGCGTGCGGAGCGTTGCACTGTGTGTGCGTGTTTTGTGGGCCCAGAGACGGGTGTGTGAGTGGGGTGGTAGAGGGCCCAACCCTGCAGCTCGGGGTGGGTCAGGCAGACAGGAGGTCTGGCCCCCTCCCCTCCAGCAGGCTCACCCACCTCCCCTCCAGCATCTCAGAATGGCCCCTCATGCGATGACACACACACCTGACACGTGGCAAGGGCCACGGCAGGCAGCCTCTGTCCCAGACCTACTTGCTAACTGTGCAGTTTACCACAAACATGGGCACACGGCCTCCCCCGCAGGGAAGTGAGTTTGGAGTCCCTGGAGTAGACCTGCCAGCTACGGATTGGTAGACATTGGGGTGCTGGAGGGACTTACCCCATGTCTCTCCATTCCTCTTCCGGGCAGGATCCCTTCTCAGCCCAGAATTGGGTCTCTTCCTGCCAGGCCGCAGGAAGTGGGTCCCAGCAAGAACAGCCCTATAGGTCCAGATGGGACTTGAACTGAGTGGTTCTGTCTTTCAGCTTTCTGACCTCTGGGCCCATATGCCCTCTGCCCTTGCTGACTCCAAGATACCCTGCAGTTTGGTCTCAGAGCAGGAGGTGAGAGCTGGACACTGATCATGGAGGCAGGAGTGACAACATAGTCACTCTAGGGAGGCGTAGGAGTTGGGGTCCTAGGCTCATGATGGGGAGTCTCCTACCAGCCAGCAAGTCTCTGGCTTGGCTCTGAGATTGGGGTGGGCGTCTTCCTGGTCCTTCCATCCTACCCCTGGACTTAGGTTTGCCAACCTGCCCTTCTTCCTCGCCACCCGCACACTGGCTCCTCCAGCTCAGCCAGCTGGGGCCAGCTCCGTCACTCCCACTCCATCTGCCACAAGAGGAACTGGTTCAGATTAATGAGTGGGGGCGGGAGGGGCACCCAGCCCTGGAGTTCATCAGGATGGAATGAGCTAGGAGAGGGGGATAGACTACTTCAAGGGGCTCCTGGCATCAGGCCTGAGGTGTGTCCCCCACTTCCCTACATATAGCTCCTTCTGGACTTATTAGAGAAATCTCCCAGCTCCCTTGCCTGGGCACTGCCCATGACAGTTGAACCCCTTTTCCAAGAGATGCAGCCCCTGGGAGCGCTGCCAGCTGGCAGAGAGATGCTGCACAACTCCAGCCACAGGGAAGGCCTGGTCCAAGTGGGTAAGCACCTCTCGATCCAGATTTGGGGCACTAAGTAGGACGGAAGGTATCCCGGGTGGGCAGGCCACACACAAGTCCAGTCACAGGCTCTGGAGTTCCTGTCCCCTGTACCCAGCCTGCCCTGGATTGTGGGAACAGCTGGCCTGCAGGCAGAAAGAATTAAGCAGCAGCATTTACTTGCTTTCCAGTTTAGCTCTAATTAATTAGTTAACTAATGTATTTTTAGGGAGAGGGTAAGGGAGGGAGAAAGAAACATCGAAGAGACATCATGAGTTGCCTCTCACTCAGCCCCAACTGGGGACCTGGCCCACAACCCAGGCATATGCCCTGATAGGGAATCAAAACAGTGATCTTTCAGTTCACAAGCTGGCACTCGATTTACTGAGCCACACCAACCAGGGCTTAATTGATTTGAGAGAGAGAGAAAGAGAGAGAGGCACACACAGGCATCACTTTGTCCTTCTACTTACTTATGCACTCATTGGTTGATTCTTGTATGTGCCCTGACCAGGGATCAAACCTGCAACCTTGGCATATCTGGACAATGCTCTTACCAACTGAGCTACCAGGCCAGGGCGCAGTTTAGCTTTATTCTGCAAAATTTACAAGGTCTCCTGTGCACAGAGATCCCCACAGGGACCAACATGAATCAGGGAGCTCTTGCAGTCCAGACTTGGGAAGACAGGACACAGTTCAGTGCCACAGCAGACAACAGGAGGCAGGATAGAGAGAGACTGGAGAGGTGAAGGAAGCGTTTCAGAATAGGAGATTCCTTTGACAGACGGAGAAGGTAGAACGGCAAGTGCAGACATCTGGAAGTCTGGGAGAGGGTACCTCTGGGAAGGGCTAGGTGTTCAAGAATGGTAAGCAAAGGAGGAAGCTATGGGAGAGGAGCCCGGAAAACGGGCCAGTCCATTCTTGATGCTGTGGTATGAGCTTTTGACTAGAGTAGGCACCCTTGTTTCCAATCTTTTGACAGCAAAGTCTCAGTGAGTCTGCCCAGGGACTCTAGGCTTGATTCCTTGCCCCTGACCCTGTCTTTCCTTTTTTCCCCCTGCAGATAAGACTCAAAAGGGGAAGGACAGGGAAGGAGTGTGGACAGGGTCAGGGGGAGCCCTGGCCTCTAATACCTCCTCCTCCTCCGAGCCTCCAGGGGCCTCGGGCAGCATCATCCCTGTCTACTGTGCCCTCCTGGCCACCGTGGTCCTTGGTTTGCTTGCCTATGTGGCCTTCAAGTGGTAGGTGGCTTGGATACTGCCCTGTGGCACCCCCTTCTCATCTGAACTCCCAGCCAGCTCCTTCTCTGTCGCAGTGAAGGTTGGAGCAGGTTGGCAGATCCCCCCTGCTCCCCACAGCTGGCGCTCACACAAACAAAGACAGGAGCTGGCCAAAGCTCGGACTGCAGAGCTGGGGGCCCTCGACAGGGACCAGATGCTTGGGGACAGCAGTGTCTTGCGGGACTCCTCTAGCGGTCGGGAGTCCTGTGTCCCCAGCCAGGGTGAGTCCCTTTCCCCAGTCTGGTCCTTCAGATCTAGCTCTGCCCACTACCCAGCCCATCTAATCCTCATTTGCCCTCATGTCTTCCACCCCAGGGCCACATCCTGAGCTTGGCTGCCGGCTTTACCTCCACCTCCCTCGGCAGCAGCAAGAGGAAGTGGAGCGGCTCCTGGGAGGGTCAGAAGAACCTGACAAGGGCTGGCAGGACCTGGCGGGCCGCCTGGGCTACCAGGCTGAGGCTGTGGAGACCATGGCCCGGAGCCGGGTGCCTGCCTCCGCTCTGCTGAGGGACTGGGCTGTCCAGGAAGGCAGTGGTGCTACCCTCAGGGTGCTAGAGGATGCCCTGGCTGCCATGGGCCGCGAGGACGTGGTCCAGGTCCTCGGCCTCCCACCGGAGGGCTACTGTGTGGTGTGAGACACGCCTCCGCAGCCTGGCCTCTTGGGGTACAGGCTCTGGTGCTACCTACCACGCCCACCTCACATGCCTTCCCTTTCATGGGCTTCCTCGAATTGGTGGGCTCAGCCTGCTCTGTCCTGGTGGACACAGAGGGTTCAGCCACTACACACCTTCCCTTGCCCTACTTTCCTTGGAGACAGCGACCAGGATATGGGGCGAGTTGGTAGCAAAGCCGTGACTGGTCCCCACTCCACCTCCCCTTCCTTTGCCTTAACTGATGTTCCTTCTTGTGTATTCCATATTAAAGGCAACTTTGGACTGCTGTGCCGGTTCTCTCTGGCTCCTTGGGCCTGTGAGAAAGTGGGTGGCTATGGGGCAGAGGCCCAGAAAAAGGATGGAGTCCCAAATTTGTGGGAGGAGCACACAGGCCAGCAGGCAGTGTGTTCCCAGAGATGCATGAGCTCTGGCCGCACAGTGCAGTTCACATCCTGCACCTGCCATCCACTGGCTGGATCCTGGTAGGAAGCTACTTTGCCTTCTGGACCTTAGCTTCCTGAGCTGGGAAATGACAGAATGGTATGTTCAGTAGGTTCCCCTCACCTCAGACCCCCAAGGTGAGCCAAGGTCAGCAGGGTGTACATGTGGGCTGCAGGAGGCAGGAGGCAGACTGGTCCTGGAGGGCTGGTTCCGAGGGCCTCTGGTCACCTCTACATGAGAAAAGGGAAGAAGGCTCTCCTTCCAAGGCCCATACTCCAGATGCAGGAGAGGGCGGGCAAACGTGCTTCCACTGCTGCTTATGTGATTTCTACACACAAGGGCAGGGAGGTCATCCCATCCACCTGAGGGGCAGTTGACCGGACAGCTGCAGCGGAACCATCTGCAGCCCACATGTACGTACGCCCACCCTGACGGGACAGGCAGGCAGGCTGGTTAATGTGCTTTAGGAGAGGGCTGCTACAGCAGACAGACTTTGCCTAGGTGGGAACAATAGCTACCCTCCTGGTATCTGCCACCCAAACTCAGGAGATGTGGGATCCAGTCATGGTCCAGGGGCCCAGGGTAGGTCCTGGCTGATGGAAATGATGGATTGGCTGCTCTATGATCACCAAACTCCTCAGGCTGCTGGTGCTGCTATTCCCCAGAGTTTACCGGGTCTGCTTAAACCATCAGTCTTTTCCTGAGATGACCCCTGGGCAATGATAACCCAGGAAAGAAAGCAGGGATGACTCAGCATTCCCTCAGCTAACATCAGACCAGCTCCAGAGAAATCACATCGACTTCTGCAGGGAGTTGGCCACAGTGCGAGCGAGGGCCGGCCTGGTGGTGAATGTGAAATCCTGCATCGAGTGGCACAAGTGGGCTCCCAGTCAGCTGCCAGCCCTTGTCACCACTGAGGGGACTGGAGCCTGCAGGTGTCAAGGGGTGTGTGGAAAGGGGAAAGATTTTGGAAAAAAAAAACAAAACACAGGGAGGTAAAATAATAGAATTCTTTTCAAAGGCGTCCTACCTGAGATGTGGCAGGTCACCACCCTTTAGTAGAAGGCTGTCCAGACTTCCTTGGAAAATCTGAAACTGGAGCTTCAGGTTAAAACCGTGAGGTGGACCTGGTTGTGAGCAGCAGTGAGCGCATCCGGCCGCACCCTTGCACGCAAACCCACCCCGAAGAGAAATGCTCCTTAATGTGCTCAAGCAAGCATGTCTAATGACTATGACGTCATAATAAACTTTTCCACTTTTCTGTCTGGCCACAGCCATCCGGGATCCTAAAAGGCTCAGTTAAATGATTTTCAGAAAACATGTAGCAATGTAGAGGATTCCTAAGACCTCAATTCCATTCCATTCAATAATCTTTTTCAAGATTTTATTTCTTTACTTTTTCAAGAGAGGGAGAAAACCATCGAAGTGCCAGAGAGCCCTGGCTGGTGTGGCTCAGTGGACTGAATACCAACCTGTGAACCAAAGGGTCGCCAGTTCAATTCCCAGTGTAGGGCACATGCCTGGATTGTGGGCCAGGTCCCCAGTAAGGGGTGCGCAAGGCAACCACACATTGATGTTTCTCTCCCTCTTCCCCTCTCTAAAAATTAATTTAAAAAAATATATGTATATATATTTTTAAAATTTAATTTATTTATCTTTAGAGAGGAAGGGAAGGAGAGAGGGAGAGAAATATCAATGTATGGTTGCCTCTTGTGTGTCCCCTGCTGGGACCCGGCCTGCAACCCAGGCATGTGCCCTGACTGGGAATTGAACCTCGACTGTCTGGTTCTCAGGCCCGTGCTCAATCCACTGAGCTACACCAGCCAGAGCTAATAAAATATATTTTTTAAGTGCAAGAGATACATCATTGGATGCCCATCAGTTTACCTCTCATACGCCCCCAACTGGGGAACCTGGCCCCCAACCCAGGCCTGCACTGACTGGGAATTGCCCCGGGACCTTTTGGTTCACAGGCCAGTGCTTGATCCATTGAGCCACACCAGCCAGGGCCTCAAGAATCTTAAACCATTTATTTTGTGTGTAGAAGATGTTCAACTAATAAATGTCTGTTTAAAGTTAAAATAAAATAGTGTCGATTCCTGCACCCCAGGGTAGTGAGGCCTAAGTGAGCACAGCCTGCACCGAAGTGCCCGGTGTGGCGCCCGCGGGCAGTGAGCGCTGTAAACTGCTATCCACCCTCCAAAGGCTCGGGGGGCCTCAGCCTCCTCCCCAGGGGCACTGCTGTGGTGAGCAAAATCAGCCCAGTGAGGGAGAGACAGAACCAACCTCTGTGAAGATGGGCCCCCAGGTTGGCCTGAAGCTTCGGCTCTCCTCATTGCCCGGACGAGGGGTGTGTGTGTGGACGTGTCTCCACTGGGCCTTGCATTCCCTAGGAGGTGTCCACTCTCATCACAACCTGTGCACTGTGCCCCTTAATAGGGGTCCTCCCCTGTCCTATGTCTAGTGTCCAAGCCCAGTGTCCGGTGGCGCAGTGAAGGTCAGGGAACCAAAACATCAGATGAGCATCCCAGGGGCCTCGGAGAACTCAGGTCTCTGAAGGGAGGACTGGCTGGGCCGCTTCCCAGCCAGGAGTATGCAGGGGAAGACAGGCCTTTCTCTCGACTGACCTATTAGCAAAGAGCCCGTGGCCAACAAAGACTCCGGTCCTTTCTTTGCTCTGGAATGCACATGTGAGTTGATCCCGCCCCTGAGCACGGCTACCAGATCCCAAACTCACAAGTGTCAGTCATCTGGCAGATTCTACCTTAGTCCTGGTGAGACCTGTGGAGAACAAGGCCTGTGGCAAACCCCAATTTCAAGGGCACTCCTGGATTTCATACACTTATAGCCATCATCGCTCCTTTCTCCAATAACGTCATTATATACAAACATGCTTAACTAGCAATTAGGGAACACACATGCCAAGTTCTTTAATTAATTTTATTTTTTACATAAAAAGTTCAGTAAAAATTGGATAAAGTAAAGTGATTTTAAGCAGTAAATCAATCTTATCAACATAGCACAAGGCTGGCCAAAACCACAAGGCAGCCTGCTTTGGAATATTTACATGATAACAAATTAAACCTTGCAGGAGAACTTAAACTATCCTTACAAAGTCTTCCTGTGATCCTAGCACGTAAAGGCTAAAAGCAAAACAAAAAACAAACAAAAACCAGGAAACAAATTATTTTCAATATATTCACATATACATTAAAATATAATACAGATCATCAGGGTCAGAGGTTGCGGGTGGGGATGCGCATGGGTCTGTGCGCCGACAGCACCGCCAAGGAGGAGACCCAGGTGTGAGGGGGGTCAGGCCTGGCCAGGGTCTTGGAGGAAGGGTCTTCCCTAGGCCCTTGACCCTGATGGTCTCTACCCAAACCCCAACAGCTCACGACCAGGGATCACTCGTTGTAGATTGAGCTCATTTTGGGCCTTCAGTTGAAAACCTGCAGGTTGATTCCCCAGGGTGACGTGTCATCAGTAGCACAGCTTTGACAGAAGGGTGGGGCAGGGAGGGCCCACGAGATTCTTCTCCCCAGAGTCTGTCCTACTTGCTCACCTGTCCTCCCACCCTGGCTCCGTACGTCACTCTAACTCGGTGTCCTCTTTGGGTTTGTAAACAGCCCCAAACTTCTGCATGTACTTCTTAATGTACTCCTTGGTTTTATGTTTCACATTCTCATTGCACTCCAGGTCCTCAGGGTTCTTACAGTACTTCAGCTCCTTATTCATAACGCCGTGAGTCAGCTGTCCAGGACACAGGGAAGAGAGACCACAGCCGCCAGTCAGAGTGGAAACGATTTGAGGGGGAAGGCCAGCCTGCTGCCTCAGGGCCCTCTAACCAAAACTGGGAGTTGAACAAAGAGATAGGCTGGGGCAGGCTGTGCTGGGATCACCAGAAAGGGAAGCTCAGTTCTGCAAGTTTCTTAGAGAATCACTACACCCAAGTAGGGTGCCCTCCCTTCTCTGGCCTGGGCACCTGGCAAGAAAAACCCACTTTCTATGAAAGAGGCCTTTTCAGAAGGTACACAGTTTGCCCAAAACACTGTCAGAAGACCACAGCTGGGGAGAATACCTTGCGAGCTAGGTGTTTGAAGTCTTCCGTTGTGGTGATTCTCCCCACTTTGCAGTCTGGTTTCCGGTAAGGGTTCAGGCACTGCACGATGAACTGGGACATCTGCCAGCAGGGAGAGAACACACTGCTCAGTACTCCAGTGGAGCAGTGATTGGAAGAGACAGGGAGGAGAGCCAGCCAATCCTCGCCAACTCAGGCTGGCTGGTTCGGACAGCAGAATGCTACCATACCAGTGGGACGAGAGAGAAAAGGTCCTGGGTCAGCCCTGAGAGGGAGAGCTCCCCTGAATGGACTGAGCAAGGCGGACTTACACGGAGGGACCCAGCAGCCGAGACTGGAGAAAGCAGCTCCTCTTTGTGCTACTAGAATGGCTAACACTTGTCACATCCTTCGCACAGACTGTAGCTAAGTTCTCTGACTCCTGGAGGTAAGCATTACATTTCTTTTGATTCACACAATAGGAGCGTGAAGCAAATAAAAGCAGGTATGACAGGTGACGGGAAAAGACCAAGGGTAGGATCCTTTTCAATGTACAACTTCCAACGTTCTCCCAAGCTGTCTCTGTAGTGTCAGTCCTACCCAGTGGCTCTCAAGAGACCCAGGCACAGGACCTCTGGAAGTATCTATGGCAGTCAGTGACCACCATAGAGGAGGTCACTGACAGCAACTTCCACGGGGAGCACCCCAAGCAGGGCCTACCCATCCCTGAAACTCAGAGCCTTCGGACTGTCAAAGAATAAGGATATATCACAAAGTAGGCACTAA